TAGGGAAAGTGACACATTTTTAAGAGACTGCAAAGAAACATTTACTGAATGTTCTTTTAGAACTGTAACAAAATAATTAAGAGTATGTCTTCTTCACCCATCCACCTCCTCTAAGAGAAAACTTCTACATAGTTTACAACTATAAATTAATTTTCAACTCCTCATTTGAGGGAAATTGTTAAGAGCTTGTAGAAGTGTAACAAAATAAACCATAAATAGTGAAGTCTTTAATTTGCAAGATTTGTTTCAGCAACTCTTTAAAATCAGAACTGAAATGTCTCTGAAAAAGACAACTACATGAGAACCACCTTTAAAATGTGTTAAGAAATATTAGTTTTATTTAACCAGTTTTCACAGCTGAATATTTATTCTATAAAAACTTTACAGATTGTACAGTTTATATATAGTTCAAACTACTAGAACAAAAAAGTAGGTCCCACAGATGCAAAAATACTGTACCAATCCAAGGTAAAGGCAGATTTACACACTGTACAGCTCTCCACTGGGAAGGGGAGGTGGGTCAGTTCCAAGTAAAAACTTCAAAACTGTACAAAAATAAGGTTTGATTTCTTTTTCATTCTTCATAATACATTCAATAAGATTGCAAGCACAGATACCCAAGTAATAATAGATATCTGCAGTCAGGAATCAATAACCACTCCTGAAAGGAATGCAAAATAGGTCTATTTACACAGGGCACTCTTTTACACCATACTGTATATAGTGTATATTTAAAATAATAAAAAAGCATAGACAAAGAACATTAAACATCTAATATAAGGTAGTTTTTTTAAAAAGTTTTTTTACTTAATAGTGTGCCAAAAGAATTTTAACTTATTAAATAATATATTCTAAGTGAACCTAAAATTTATGAACATAAAATGCATTTTTGGTGTAATACATCAATTAAACCAGCAAATAGGAAAAAAGAACCAAAAACAAAACCCAAACTTGTATATAAAGTAGTATTCTCACCCAGCAACAGAAGCACTTATGTAGTTATTTAAAAACAACAAAAAAACCCCAGAGAGACTATTTAAAAACCCACTAAAACTAACTTATAACTTAGAATATTCATACATAAGAAAGATATTCAGTGATTCACTAATACTGCAAAACAAGCTTTTTTTTTTGTTTTTTTCTCTCCTTCCTTCCTTCCCCCTTCCATTTCCCTCCCACTTCCCCTCCTTCCCCTTCCCCAAGAGACAGTGGTTTCTTCATGCTATCTGGGTAAGAATTAAACATATTCCTGCCCCCTTCCTCCCACCCTTCTATACCTCCCCCCCCAAAAAGGACAGAGTGTTTTCTTAGCATTAATCCTGAGCACACTCTCTTTTTGGGGATACGTATGATTTAATCTTAATACGGTTTCATTCCCAAAAATTTTAGAATGTTCCATTACTTGAGGTATTTCAACCTTCTTCTGAGACAATGCCTTGTATCTTAGCTGACTCATTGGGCAGTGAAAGTAAGGGCTGGCTAATACCCGTTTCATTTCTGTATTCTAATGAAAAAGAAAATCCTTATTCCAGACTTCCCTGCCACACAGAAAATAATGCAACACCATTCACTTTTTAATCCATTCTATTTGATACAGTACTAGCCAAAGATAACAAAAACTAGAGCCTTTAAAGAGATGTTTGGTAGTGCACTCTATAATTTTTTTAGCTTGTGTGTGTGTGTCTACATACACACTCTCACACACATATTACATTTTTTATATATATATATAAAAAAGAGACATATATATGCACACACACTTTTGTGTGTGTGTGTATATATATCTATATGTAACAATCAGGGAGAAAGGAGTTCTGTTCAAATTTAAGTGATACAGTACTTTTTAAACCCTTTAACATGAAAAGGGGAGGGGGGTCCACTCCTGTTCCCAAGCTGAGCAAGGGGTGAGTTTATAGTTTTGTTTTTTTTTAAAAATGGGCATATTTTGTTTGCCCTGATGTCCAAGAAATACAATTCCAGTGTCAATGGGCATCTCATCAGAACTCATCAATTTTCTTCTGCAGATATTTTAACATTGAGTCCATCCCTTGTGCGGAGCCCCAGATTTTCTTCAAAACTTCACACTCCTTTTCATTTGCCTGTTCTAAGTCCACCTTCATGATACTACGTACTAAAGCTTTGGATTCTTCAAGTACCTAGGCCAAAAATAAAAAAAAAAAAGGAGCTGGGTTAGTACTACATGAGAACTGAGCAACATGTGCACTTACAGGTTTACATGGACAAAGCTTGAAGTTTACTATGAACTTAAGCTTGTCAATTCATGGACATGCTATGACCCCAAGAAATATTTCTCATAGCATCACACAGGATTTCTTTTACCCTGTACCAACACAATTTACAATTTCACAAAAATGTAGAAATAATGAAAATCCTGCAATCGTAACTATGAATGTATGTATGGTTTTATACTGATAACTAGAGAAAACTCCAACTCCATTTTGGTGAAGGCTAATCATAACTCTATTATCCAGAACTGCTCTAATAACCAGGCAGACCTCGAATCTCTTTAGCGTGTAAAATAGACTGAAAAAAATCTTGTTTGCTTTTCCATTTGGAAAACTATTAATCTGTTTCAAAATCCAACATTTAATTGGATCATAGTTAATTTGTTCTGCATCTCTTCTTGTAAGAAAGCATCAAATACTGGTAGTTTTAGCTATCTTGTGCAACTGCTGGTAGTGCACTCAATCACAAATGCACTAGGTAGGTGTTACTCGTAAAACTGTAAGTTCAACATAATGTCAAAGACTGCATTTATTTCCTTAGTAATTTAAATTACAACTTGAGACAGTAAATTACAACTTGAGATTTCTGTGTTTCTGTGCAGTTCTTAGGGCAACCGTTTACACTGTTAATCAAGGTAAGTTGGACGGACTTACGCAACTATGTTAAAACGAAAATATATTGTAAAGAGCCCAATGCTGTTTTAGTGGTCTTAACCACAATGTACTATGCCACGATGTACTATGGCATATGATAAAGAAGAGTCAGATGCAAACTTAAAAAAAAAATCCTCAAAAACCCAGAAACAAAAAGCTACATAACAATGTGTTAAAGGACACTGCTATACTAAAATGCAGTCCTTGTTTCATGAAAAAGGTCTTTTTTTAGAAGGACATAATGATGTAGTCTAAGTCTTATTAATCTAATCATAAACATGTATTGTAAGAAAATCAAGGAAACTTACAACTGCATTACATGTGACAAGTTCCTTAATTCGAACCATTACTTCTTGTGTGAATGTTCCCGGCCAAAACACTTGAGAGACGAGTCCTTTGGCACAAGCTTCCTGTGCAGTCAGCTTCCTTCCACTGAACAACATTTCATTGGCCTGAAGGGATAAAAAGTTACTTCTGGTATGAAATGTAATGAGACAAAACTCATTAAAGGAAAAATGTTCAAAACAAATAAGGAAAATGCCTGCACTATTTGAACTAGTTTTATTATAGCTCTTCCAACTTTTAATTAATAAAGAAAAAGATTTGCCTACAGATAGCTTGTCAATGTTTTTCACTATACTACATCAGTAGTTATAAAAAATACAGAGGTCCCTATGATTAAGGATTAAATGTGAAAATGTCTTTTGTCATTTCCCATTCATGGATATTCATTAGCTCTAGCTTTTTTTGCAGTATTGCTGACTTGATTAACTGTATACATGGTAACAGGTAATAATGCCTGGCAGGTCTGTAAAACAGCAATGAATACATCAGCTTGCCCTTTATAATAATGCTAGTTGCAGCAGTGAAATCTTTCCTAAAAATCTACGTTATCTGTAAATTATAAAGCTAACCCAGTTTTGGTAGTAGACCTCTTGGGCACTGCCAGCCTTGGTAGAAAAGAACAGTTAAATATTTTGCAAATAAAAAGTTTTTTAGTACTGAAAGTGTTTGAAACCTAAATATATGGTTTATTTTTGGCACTTCTCAAAAGTCTTCAGCAGTATTTCACTTATGATGCAACGTTTAAAATGGCTGAATTATCTTACAGAGTTTGACCTCTAAAACCTACTGAAGTTATCAAGATATATTCCAATTTCTGATCAAACTCATAGAAAATAAACATTCCCGTTTGATTCAGGAGTTCAATATTGAGCTGATAAATCCTTTCAAAAGCTGATTTAGCAGTCTTATTAAAAAACCTCACACAAGCCAGAGTTTAAAAGATCTTGTACACATAGTTTAAAGGTATTGAGGATTACATTCTATGCAATTAGGCGATCTATAGCTCTGTAAAATTTTTTGATTTCCTGTTATCATACGCTTCACTATTTGTTAGCTTCCCCATTAAAACTTCATCCCAACACTGTTTATGCTTACGCTTTAATTCTACCTTTCTTACATAGATAAACTTTTTGTTTGCACCTGCACGAAAACAAACCAATGAAGATTAAAAAGAGTAATTGTAAACCTCAAAAAAAAAAGTTTTACTGTTTCTCAATGACTAATTTACATTGAAAATGCAACAAAGACATCATTGGACTCTTTGAATGTGGGAAATAAGGCTGTTATAAAACACCCAAACGCAACAGGTTTTCTGAGGACAAAATTCTGAGTTTTTTTAATGTTCTCCAATACTGGAAATTTTAGTAATTATTACAACAACCTTCAGTTCAGGTTCTCAAGTTATCTAATTACTGTAGGTAATGTTCCTTGTATTGCCATTTTACTCATGAAGAAATTTGAAAACTGAGAGGTCTACTGCTTGCTCCTTTGTAATGAACTACTACTGGCAGTTTGGTTGACCATTAGGCATGTAAAAAGAGAGATGTTTCCTAGGTTTATTTATTATCAGCACATCTGTCCTAAGTTAATATGAAAAGTTGTGGTTCACATATATAGTAGTTTTTAAAAAAACAAGCCTAAAAATAAAGCTGCAAATTATATACCCCTATTATTCTACCTGCTGTGAAAGCAAAATCAAATCTACAAGGTTCATTAACTATCACAACTCTGCCTTCTAATTTTCCAGATACTAACCTCAAATGCTAGCCAAAAAAACCACAAGTTTGTCTAAAACCAGGAACCATTTTCCTAAGGAGATATGGGGGAAAAAAATTCTTCCAAAATAATTTAAAAAGATACTTAACATTTATTATCAAAGAACAAAATATGAAGTCAGTCTAACCAGGAGTTAGTAAAGTCAGAAGTTTAAGTCAGTCAGCTGGTCAGGTGTCATATTCTTCACATGTATCTTTGGTAACAAAAATAAATGCTAGAAAACCTTAATAATCAACCCCCCCCCGCCCCAGAACTCAGTAACAACTGCTAAGTTCTCCCGAACATGAAAACCACATATGCTAATGCTGCAGTTATCTCATTTCTACCAGCTGTAACACAGCATTAGCTGAAAACCTCACATGAAATGAGCACTCCCATTAGTGTTCTCAGTTGACAGGTTTTGAAGTGGAATGTTTCACTCGGGCATCTTCACTTTTGATCTATACACAGCATATGCCAGAGACCCACTATAAACAAGTTTTAATCAAATAACGATGCCTTGCATCTGCTGTGAAAATTAACACACTTGGTAGTTACTTTCCAAGAAATATAATACAGGAATAAAGTGAGGATGATAAAAATATTTCATTAATATAAGATTCTTATCAACCACCTTCATTTTCCACTTGGTCTGTCTTTCTCTTTCCAGAGAGGAACTTCACTGGGACGGCCTCTGGTCTCTCTTTTACAGCGAGTGCTCTGAGGCTCACGGGGAACCTTTCGCGCAAGCCCACAGGTGCTAGCTGCCATGGAGCACCTCAACTCTTTCGCACTACAATCAGGAGGCAGCTGGTCTCTGTAACACTCAAGACCCTGGCTGTGATGTGGACTACAGGCCCTATGGAAACCCATATCCCTCGTGACTGACAGAAGAGCATAAGAAATACTGCTAAGCATGCTGGATACTGACAGGGAAACCTGGCATGTAAAGCTTGACCATGCTTTATATCCTGTGCTTTATATCCAGGACCAGAAACCAGACCAAGAACTCCACAGCAGAGACACAGTAACTTATCTCCCCAAACAGACATCACCTTAATTTATATTACAAATTATTTTCAAATATCAAAACCAAAATTGAATCCTTCTAAAATTCTTGGTATTTCCAGTACAGTATCAATTTTGAATCCCAAGGTCTGGGCTTCAGATTTCCTGTAAAAATGACTTCTGTTGAACATGTTCTGTAGGAAAAACAAACCCTCCACACCAGACCTGCTAACTGGCCAAGACTGACTCAGTAGGGAGGATACATCCAACAATCTTGCAATTGAAAATTTTTACTGCTGATAATAAAAAGAATGCACTGAATTGTGACTCACGAGGGTTAAGTGTGGGACTAATATTGCTGAATTAATACATACGTAGGAAATTTTATGATGCATACAGAGGCCTTAATTCTTTGTTTTGAACAGTATTTTAATCTTTTCCCCCTGAATGTTTCTCATCTCACTCATAGTGTCTCTTCTTTCTGCTGACTTCTCTCTCCCTTTTATAGGTGGGGAGCATGCTACTTTATCAAAGTTTTCAGTATAGATTCTGAATATATCCACAGAATCTGCTGCTTGAAGTTCAACTTTGTCCCGTACAGCATTGACATTGCTGTACTGCAGAGGGTCAAGGATAGTAGGAAAGCAGTAGACTTTTCCCCCCACCGCCTTTTACACTGAATATTGTGGAGGAGTTATCACTGGAAGCTTTTGATTTAAGTCTTCATATTGAAAAATGAGAGCATTCACAAACACATATGAAAGAACATACTAGGGAAGAGCTTCTTGTGTTTTTTGGTACAACTTCTAAAGAAACAAGAAGTAACAACCACAAGTCTCTAAAGGACGGGAATGGATGGAATGGATGGATGAATGGATGGATGGCCAAATAAAAAGGGAAAGGAACAATCAGTAGTTTGAAACATGCCAAGATATTAAAGATACTTTTATAGCTGTTAATCTATTTCAGTTACCTTTTCTGTTCCCTTCTAATAACTAAATCCAGACATCACATTAAATTAGTCATTAGATCTGTTCAAACTGATGCTTTTAGTATATCAAAATCTGTATTTTTAAAAACAATAAATACCTACGGGGAAAAAATGGCTTTTATAATAAACAGTAATTTACAAAAAACAGGCGTAACTATAAGTACTTGTTTCATACTGTTACTATTAAACTTCAGATTGGAATGGGACATAGGTCTAACAGTTTTCAAAGAACACAGCACAACAAATAGTAAGCAACATGAATATAATGTAAGGAAGAGATTTTTAAGATAGCTTTTTGTTACATTTGAGTCTTTCATCTAATTGGAAAGCCAGAAAAAGGATACCAAGTAATACATGGCTTATGTTTTCAGCAACAGTGTTGCTTTTTTGGTGTGGTGTGTTTTTTTTTTTTTTTTTTTGTTGGTTGGTTTTTGTTTTGTTTTGTTTTTTTTTTTTTCAATCCAGCAGTACTGTAGATCAAGTGCAAGACTGGAAAAAAAAAACCCAGTTCCTTCACACAAAGTATTTCTTGCATAACAGACTAGTGTTAAACATCAGCAGATATCTACAAAGTGGGGAAGTTCGACATGACTTCTTGAGAGCAACGAGTGCATGAAAGCTGAATTACTTATGTTGCATACTAGCATGAGACTGCTAAATAGCTGGTGACACAGTGCTGTGCTATGTAACGACACTGGGTGCAGACCAGCCCGTTCTCCGCTACACCCTCATGCTGTCCTGAATGCAAGACACTGGTGGCTGGTCCTCACAAGGCATCAGCAGGGAAGGTGTGTCCTGCTATGCAGGACGTAACCCTTGTGCCACCGTCGGGGTTAAGGGTGCCCATGACTTGGGATTAGGTCCCGTGCCTGCTTTTCTGTTCTGTGCACGCAGGTGAAGACTAAGTTGTAACAGCATGAAGCAGAGAAGCTATAAATACTGGTTTCTCATGAAAGGTTTTCATGAGAAAGAAAAAATAAAGACAACACACAAAGGTAAAGTCTTGAAACCACTCTGGATAAATTATCACAACTGCATTGTGAAGCTGTCAGCCCCTACCCTGCAAGCTACTTACAGAAGCCAGGCCCATTATCCGGGGGAATGTAAGGGATGAACATCCATCTGGACTTTGTCCAAAAGTAGTGTATGGTGTCTGAAACCAAGCCTTCTCGTTAGCCCAAACCACGTCACACAGAGGCAATATAGATGCTCCAAGTCCAATGGCTGGGCCATTAACTGCTACAATTATAGGCTTCTTAAACTGAATAAAAGTATTCACAAAATTCCTGAAGAGAAACAGAAACATGCACTCACTACATATATAGAGAGTAAATACACCAGCCCTTCAAAACTCGGTAATAATTAATCTCCACAGTAACATCACTTTCAAAACCAACTTGATAACCTTCCACCGTGAGGCGGCTAGCGTGGGGGATGAGGGGAGAGCAGTGGATGTTGTCTACCTACACTTCAGAGTGAGGCTTTCAGCACTGTCTCCCGTAAGACTCTCATAGACAAGCTGTTGATGTATGAGCTGGATGAGCAGACGGTGAGGTGGACTGAAAAATGTCGGAATGGCTGGCCCAGAGGGTGGTGATCAGTAGCACAAAGTCTAGTTGGAGGCCAGTAATTAGTGTTGCACCCCAGGGGGGTGTTCATTCATCATCTGTGTGATGGGGCAGAGTGTACCCTTGGCAAGTTTGCTGATGATACTGCGATGATACACTAGAGGGTCGTGCTGCCCATCCAGATGGACCTTGACTGGCTGCAGAAATGGGCTGACAGGAACCTCATGCAGTTCCACAAGGGGAAGTGCAAAGTCCTGCACCCTGGGAAGAACAACCCCAGATACTAGTATATGCTGGAAGCCAAACTGGAAAGCAGCTTGGCAGAAAAGGACCTAGGGGTCCTGGTGGGCACCAAGTTGACTTGAGCCAGCAATATGCCCTTGTGACAAAGACGACTAACAGTATCCTGGGCTGCATTAGGTGGAACATTGCCAGCAGGTTGTGGGAGGTGATCCTTCTCCTCTGCTCAGCACTGGTGTCCAGTTATGGGCTCCCCAGTGAAAGAGAGATGTGGAGCTACTGAATATGGTCTAGCAAAGGGCCACCAAGATGACTATGGGACTGGAGCATCTCTCATGTGAGGAAAGGCTGAGAGAGCTGGGGCTGTTCAGCCTGGAGAAGAGAAGGCTCAGGGGGATCTCAGTCTCGTCAATGTGTATAAACAACCGAAGGGAAGATGCAAAGAGGATGGAGCCAGGCTCTTTCCAGTAGTGCCCAGTGATAGGACCAGAGGCAATGGGCACAAACTGAAACACAGGAGGTTCCCTCTGAACACCAGCAAACACTTTCTTACTGTAAGGGTGACTGGTGGCCAGCAAGGTCATGGACTCTCCATCCTTGGAGATATTCAAAAACCCTGCCTGGACATGGTTCTGGGCAGCTTCCTCTAGGTGACCCTGCTTGAGCAGGGGCAGGCTGAACAAGATGACCTCCAAAGGTCCCTTCCAACCTCAACTGTTCTCTTATTCTGTGAAAGCCTCGCATTTCTCCCAGCCCAACAAAGCACAGTAATTGGGCAGATGCGGATTTAACACCCCTCCTAAGCAGCAGCTGATATGGTGCTTGTGGTACATTCACATGCCTCACAGCCCTCTCAGATGAGGCTGCAGTTGCACCTCACCTCTGGGCACCAAAACTGTGGTTACAGCACTGCTTGGTCATCACTGTGTTTATGTACAAGATATCTACCCATAGTTTTAAGTGAAGGTACAAGGTATATAGGTATAAGTGAAGATCGGCAAAGCATTAGTGAGTTTCCTTAAGGAATATTTCTGGACTTCAGGGAGAGAGCTTTTCTTAAGAAATAAATCTGCCTTTTTAAATTATGAACAAGCCACGAATAGTAGAGCTCTGTTATCACATGCCTCACACCTGTAAACTTCCCCCTCCTCATCCCTCTCTTGGTTGGCCATAATGGTATGGGTGCTATGCTATTAAGTCACAAATGCATACTCTCATCCTCGTTATCAACACAAAATGACAATTCATTCCAGCACCCACAAAGCATACATACTTCTCTGTTCTCAAACAGTAAATACCTTCAACAGCCTCTTGGGGAAAAGTAAGCGTGTGTGTACATACATGTGTGTGCACACACACATTTGACCAAGTAGAGACTTCTAAAACCTCGAAGTTGAGGCGCAGACATCTCTCAGTTAATAGCAACAACATATAGTGAAGGGGTTGTCCATATTTACTTCAAGTACTTGACAAATTCTGATTTGAATACAATATATAACATACAGTTGTCAGCACTTGTAAAGCACTCCTTTGCTCTCAATGACAGACGATTTTTCATTCCAGTATTAGATGCTGAAATATGGGATTCTTAATCAAAATTTTTTAAAAAGGGGACTGAGTGGTAATTTTAAAGTTTCGTCTTTATCTGCATTGCTTGTTTTTATATTTCTGTGAAACAGGACATTTGTACTACATTGCATCCATCACTAAAGGTTATCATGCTGCTGCTTCACTCATTCTAGTGAACAGAAATAGATGAATGCAAAAAAATTCCTGGAACAGTCTTATGCAAGCCATCACACAAACATCCCATCCAGGGACTTAAGATAATTTTAATCATGTCTCAATATTACCATCTCTAGCATATATATGAAAAATACCATTATTATATTTGAAGGGGCAGATCAAATTACCTTTATCCATTTTATTAACAATGACTAATAGGTGACAAATCTGGCTTCTGAAAAGGCCTGAATTAAACTAGTGACAGAAACTTGGTGTTAAGAGCCTCCGTCCCCTGGCTGCATCTGAAGTAACTGCATGAGCAACTTTTACACAGAACGATTGAAAAATTTCCTTTGGAAAAAAACCTCACTACTATCACCTCTATAAGGCAACGGTGCCTCCAGTGAAACAGGCTTCACATGTTACGAGGCCTTTTTTAGGGACATGAATATTGATAACGACAACAGAACATAGGTCTCTGAAGGAATATAGACACTCTGGAAGCATACAAGAGCCCACGTCCTCAAAACTGGTGTTCAGATGAGAAGCTACTTGTTTGTACTGTTAAAACATATCTCTAAGATCCACTTTTTTCCATATATATTCTCCTAGTTTGTAGTAGTTCAGCTCATTTTGTTTAAACAAAAGTTTGGTACCTAGCATTGGGATTATGGTCGCTAGTATTATTAATCTAGTCCTCTAAAACATCCATCATTCCACTGGTCTGAATGTACTATAGTAAGTTACTCATTCAATCCACATCTTGTGTGTGTTAAATTTGTTTTCCTGAAACCCTATGGTTGTTTAAGCCTTTTAAAATTGGTCTCAACTGGAGGAGTATTACCATACTACCAGTCTTCATAAGTTAAATTTTAGTAGTAAAAATAGTGATGCATGAAATGACAACCCAAATAGAAAGGGACAGGGAGTATAAAGAAGTGCTGCACACTATATCACATAACAGGTGAATGTGTCTGAGTTCGTGTTGAATTAGAGACTTCTGAAATAAAAAAGATAAAACAAGCCAGACTACATGATGAATACCCACTCACATGACTGAAGACAATCTTACATACCTAATAGCTTCTGCCATCTTAGTGCTTTCCTTTTTTCTATCGTCTGTTAAACGTCGTATAAAATAAATAAAATCAAGACCACAGCAGAAAATGCTACCAACTGCACTGAACAGCACAAGTTTACTGTCATCTGCAGCTGCTGTGTTCAGTGCACTTTGGACTTCCTTCATTACCTGAAAAGACAAAAACTCATTAGAATCTTTTTATTCCACCATTAAAAAGTAGCATACTGTTCTCCTCCCTCCACGAGATCTTTGACATTTTAAATTTTTTCCTTAGGATCCACTCAACCATCATGCTAGAAAAGTTAACTTTTTTCATTATCCAAAAATAAGAAAGTAAAAAAAGTATTAGAAGCTTTGAATTTCAAAAATGTAATTAGACTAAAATAATGAAATCATTAAGAAAAGATGTATTAGATGTTATCTGCAACGAAAGCACTCATTCAGCATTTCTGTAATTTGGACAGCAGATGGCATATGCAACCAGTTCAGAAAAAAAGAACTTTAATTCGGGCTAAAGCTTGTTTCAAGTTGCACTTTGTAAATCGACACGTCTTACAGAAGACAGTATATCTACATGTTCAGATAAGATAGTCCTTGAACACAACTTAAGTACACTTGAAGTCAGTTGTATGTTTAACATCTTGCAAACAACAGCCTGAGCCTTGTTTTGTGTACATGTGTGCCTGAATAAGAGGCATAAATGAGGCAATGACTTAAAATTCCCCCAAGCACCCTTCCCCCCCCGCCCAAAATCAGAATTGTTCTGACCTCTGGATTTAGTGAATTATTTTCAGATGATTTTGTTGAGAGCAAAATGTGAGTGAATCCATCTTGTTTCCTGACAACAATGTCTCTGTACCGGTATGCACTCTCCGTTTGTCTCACGCTGAAACGTAGCCTTTTATCAAAAGGTTGATCTCTCCTGTCATCAATAAACCTTCGTTTGCTGGCTGTCACTCCTGTTACAGATGTCTGTATGTTGGTTGTACCATTGGCTGCTAATGCCTCCATGAAGGTGGATGTACCTGGAAATAGTTTAAACAATAACATTCTCTTAATTACGTTTTATTAGCTCAGCAGTTTCAAAATCCCTATTAGCATGAAAACACGCTAGTCATATTAAGAACACACAGTAAATGTGAAACTCAGTCCCCTGGAAGTTACTGAAATGTTACAGATATAGACACTGTGCACAGAGCAAAATTAAAGTGACAAAGGGATCCAATAAATTCATTTTACAGTTGTGACAAAATACATTTTAAACAAGCCAAACAGATCAATCATCATATACTTATTTTTAGAAGGATGGGAAAGGTTTATTTAACTTTCCTAATACCAATGCACTTCAGTGGGTTAACGCTCTGCTTTCTCCCTTTCCAACATCTTTTAAGTCATCTAACAGCATCAAGATTGCAAAGAGAAAGCAGAAACCTTTTGTTTCAAACACCAGGAGAAGTTAACATACAGAAGAAAATTACACTTACAATAAGCCAAATAAAGAACTTCAAGTGACAAGATCATATAAAGAATAATAGACTTTAAAAGGAAAATGGAAATGAAGAAATACAGACTGTATTTCTGTGAGAGGAAACAAGACCCATGCAGTGATGGATATTTTAATGGATTCATAGACAATGAGATATTTCTCAAGTCTAAACAATTTTTGCTATTAGAATTGGCAAATAGAGCATTATTTCTTTCTGGTCTTGTTCCCAGTCACTTAACTAAACATAATTTGAAGGTATGAAAGTAAACAGGCCATTCCTCATGACACAGAAGGAACAGGTTTTTCTGTACTCCACATTAGCAACATAACACCAAATAATTAGCATTTGGAAGAGAAAAATAAGATAACATCTTGGATCTATAATCCCTCTGTATGTTAAAGTCTCCATACAAAATGTCCATAAAATTTGTCAGATTAAAGTAATGGAGTATGTGTGGGGGGAGGCAACAGCAGGGTTACAGTGTTGGAAAAATGTGTTATAGGCCAAGATAGGAAAGTTTTGAAAGCTTTTTCCTGAAAACTGAGGTCTGAGACTTCGTTACAGTCGGCTGGAAACGCTCAGCCCTTCTCTCACAAACAAGTCCTTCAGAACATCCATGCGTGTGCTGTCTTAAACACATACAAGTAAGTTGTTATTTAAATGCCATTGATGGATCTTGCTTAATTCGTCATTATCTTTCTGAAGAAGCTCTATCTTTACAGTTCTAATAATACCCAATGCTATGATTTTATTTGTTTTTTTTAAAACCAAGATACTTCAAACACTTGTGGGGCCATTGAAGACACTAAACAGGCTCACCTAAATAACTGGAATATCCTATATCTCCACATTTTAACTATATTTGAACATTGCTTACTTTGACCTGTATGAAGTATAAGAGATATTAAGAGAAAGACTAAAAAAATTAAAATTTAGAATATTATACACTTTTCTACTTGTATTTCAAAAACTGCCTTCAGATATAGGTGAAGTCTTTATATCAAATATTTTAAAATAAATCAATCTTTGATTATAAATCTGTTATGATTAATGAGGCAAGTTGTCTGTGAAAGGAGCTACACAATAATGTTTTTTTACTTTTTAAAGTCTGTCTTCTTGTATTAATGATTTAATCCTCTTTCCATATCACTTTTTGTGAAGAAGTTAAAGATGGCAAGATTTTTCAAGTGCTTAAAGTGAAGAGTAAGAAACTGAATTCAGTTTGTGATCACTCTCAGAGACAACAGAAGTGAACAAAATGAAATTGAAAACTGATGTTTTATATTGTCACAGAAGTTTCACATTTATTCATAAATGTTTCATGGCTTATCAAATACCTTTTTTTTTGTTTCAGCAGAATAAATGCAAATGTGATGCATACCAAATACAAAATTGATAAGGGACACTTTTGATACTTTTTCCTTGTAAACCACACTATGTTGATTAAATTCCTTTTAAAGAGGTCCCTTCAAAGGGAATTTGCAGGAACATCACTGTTGCCCCATATTTCATTAGCAACAGAAGACGAAATGGTATCCCTGGCCACAGTGGTTTGTTTTTCCATAGGAAAGGTAAATTAAAACAACTGAAATCACCTCTGATTTCTAAAGACTGATATAAGATTTTATGGCTTTTTTTCTAGCCATAGTGAAAAAAGTGGAGACCCAAGAGAGTACAATAGACTAGACTAAGCCAAAAGAAGTCAGTAAACTTGTGTAAGAGCTTTAAGTAGATCTTTTCCCACGACTCATACTTCCAAAGACGTACTCAAATACCAGAAAATTACTTGTGAAATGCAAGAGCCACAAAACTTTCGGCAAGACCCACCAAGCCGTAACCACCACACGCCACTTTTCATGCTTATTGAATTGGCAAGAAACCTCCTGAGTTTTGATATAAACTCTCCCTGCACTCCTCAAAAGTTGCAGTTTCAAACCACAAACAAGGGACAGCTGCAGTTCAGTGCAAGATGTCTCCTACATCCAACCTTGTAAACACACTTTTAGGATCCTTAGACTGGAATCAAAACCCCATTGGCTTTAGAAACCGCACCTCTGCGCAGGGAGATTTGGCAGCTGGTAGGGATCAGAAAACAGCACCGACAGAGTTAAAATACGTTCGTTAGTGTTTGTCATTATCGCTGTAAGTTTGTGACCTTCTACACCTTAAAGCATAGCATTTTCTTTTGGCGTTCAGTCCTCAAAAGTGAAGAGACAACTCAGAGATGTAAAGCAGTACGTTATTTTTTTTATATATATATAAAAAAATAACAGGCAAAGGTTACATCACTGGACAGTCTTGCAGACGTGTTGCAGCAAATGAGGATGAAAATTAAAAAAAGTACCAGAGATGGCAACTGTATGGCCATTGATTTCCTCACATGAAAATTTTGCATTGAGGTTACTTATTTTCAGGTTAATTACAGTTATATTTTACAATTTTAAAATATAGATTTCCTAACACACCAAAAGCAGTTCTGCATTTTAATAAGTTAATGGAGATAGTGTATCGAAGACAAACAAAACACCACAGCCCGCTCCCTTCAAACTGAGCCTTCCAAAACCAACAAGGGCTTGGAAAAAAGACAATTTACCCTGGATGTCAACTAATGCAGAACTATGTTTGTTTAAGAGGTAAACAAAGAGCTCTTATAGTTACAAAAAACCCTTCCGACTGCAAACTGTTAATTAATGTAATGTGATCTTCTCAGAGGTGAGGGCATACTACTGCTGCAAAGCTTCACCATACAGATGCAGAAGGAAATTAAGAGGAGTCCTTGGTTTTACAGCTGCTGATCAAAACCTGATAACAGTCACCATTTTCATGCAGCTGCTCTTAGAGGGGAAAAAAAAAAGCAGCTATGGGCAACAGATAAGAAAGGAACTGGTCTTATTCAAAAGGAAGACAGACACAAAATACAGAAGTTGGAAAAGGAGAAGAACAGCAAGGTATCACCATCCCCATTTCACTGGCAAAAGAGAGAAAAAAGCCACCTCTCCTGAGAGGGAGAAGTTCAGTTTAGCTTACACAGCCAGCCTTGAGCACAAACACTCCCCTCCCTGCAACAACCCTGGGGACGCATCCGAAGAGGTGCTCTAGCGATAGCCAAGCCTCTTCCGCACACTTCTTTTCCAGCAGGTACGTACTAGAGCCAGTAGTCAATTCAAAGGTTTGTCTGACCGAGTATGCTGTTTCTGAAAGGCTTAGCACAGCTATCTAAGGAACAAGTAGAAGATGGGGAGCTGTGAACAATGCTGTCTGGGTATTTTCCCCAACTCCAGCAACAAGAAATTTAGGGATTCCTAAAATTTGCATGCCCAGAACCAGAGGATGCACCCAAACCCATATAATTAAATCCGTACTCCTCATGGGAGTGTCCAATTTACTATTGAAACCACTCTGGTTTTGTCTTCCAAAGTATCTTTTTGCATTTAAGTTCTGCAACATACATCTTTACTTTCTTCATCCCCTTCATCACATCCCTTCTCCAGATTGATTAGTCCCAATCTTATTTACCCTTTCTTCTTCCAGAAGCCAGCCCACACCTTCTCCATGCCTCTTCCTCTTGTACTAAATCTTGGAACAAGATGGCATAGAGCATTCAAGATGGGGACTTATAACGTGGCATATTCGAGCCTTCCCTTTCATCCTCTATTTCTTTTCCACAATTATTTCTAGCTATTTATTTTTTTTTTTAAACTAGCACTAAGCAGGTGTTTGCAGAAAACTACCCAAAACAAACCCAATGCCCTTTTCCTGAGCAGTAACACGCAGTCAGGAACCTGTCACTGTCCAGGCAGGGTTCTATGTTTTGCTATACGCATCGTTTTGCGTAAAAGTCTGTTTTGTCCTCTCCTCGTTGCTTGGCATTCATCTGCGCCGAAAGCAATCTCTCAGTTTAATCATGAAATCACTCAGTATTTTCATGTATGTCAGCCGTGCTCCCAAGGAGCTTCAGGGACCCTCACGCCTTTCCTGTGCCCTCACGCGCCAACCACATCCTCACCTACGCTAAGCGACAGAATGGTTAATAAGAAGCATCCCCCCTGAGTAAGCAAATGAACAAACACCAACAATTTCTTAAAGTGTTAACTGCAAAAAGAACACTGTAACTGTAGCTGATTACAACTCAAGTACCAGAGAGGGAAAAATATTATCTTCAAAACAGACTGAGGGGAAAAAAATAAATAAAAAATTAAATCAGTGCTACAAGTTGTATTTTTTCCAAAGTCCCTTCTATACTCTCACTGCTTTATAGTCCCCTGTATATAATCCGCAAGACTTCATACCAGTTGTCCAGTGCAGTTTGCCTCATGTTCTCTTTTTTTGCCTACAAACAGTAGTGTTTTGCTACACGTTCATATGTACTAGCAAGCTCTAACTGTAAACACTGTTAAGCTTTTCCAGTCTTAACTCTGCACTACATCAAATATTTCACAAGAGACACCAACCCTAGACAGTGATACTGCAATGCAAACATAATATTTAACAGTTTTCAGTAATTTTTCCACGTCTGCTTCAACAATTACACAGCAAATATTTCTTAGAATTGCAGTGTATTGGCACAGATTATAGAAATTTAAAATGAGGGTTCTAAAAAAAGACAGATATGTGCCCATTTTTTGTCTATGTATTTACAGTACTTACATTTTGGAATCAAAAAAATGCTCCAGCTTCTTTTGAAACATCACTATAAATATTTGCAGAAAGAAAAAAAATCCTGAATTTATTGTACATTTCACCTAAAATACTGTTTTGCTTGGTGTTTCTGAAAGAGTGTTCAGAAGCTATAGGTCATTTCTGAAAGAAAGATACACTTTACTTACACCCTTCCCGGATATGTCGTTATATTGATGCAGCACCCAAACCAGCTGTGCTACCAGTAATGACCTGCACGTACCCCAGCATTAGAACAGGCATCCCCAAAGGCACCCGGGAGGGGAAAAGGGTGGGGAAATGGTTGTACTTCGAGTTAGGGGCTGCTGGTCACCGCCGCTCAACACCAGCCGCAGGGGAACCTCCTCAAAACGCTTTCTGGTGCATGCGTGCGTGTGTGTGTGTGTGTGTCCACTAACTTTATCTTTTCAAATAAAGTGAACCACTTCTTGATTCTGTTTCCAGGAATTAGTTACATAGGGAACCACTGGCTATTCTCCAGCCACCTTCTGTTGTTTTTGCCCGTGTCACCCTTCCATACACCAAGAACGTCAGTTTTAAGCAGACTAACAGGCAAATTGTTGTGGCAGTACTTGCTGAAACATCAGCCATAGGTGACTACAACTCAGCAGTAAACAGTCCTGCAGCGGACTGTTTACTGGCAGGGGTGGTTGTCAATATCTATCTTCAATTCCTTAAGAAAAAAAAAAAAAAAAAAGCACGCCACTTTCTCATGCCCTTAATTCCTCTTTTCCTTATATTTTGTATAGGTCTTAATTTTAAATGCCACTTTGAAACATTGCTCCTATAAAAATCTATCTTTCTTACAGGACACTGTTGTTGTGGACAAAATTAACATGAGAAGAGAAACACACACAGACATCTCCTTGGTAATATCTCCCTACTCGATTAAGAGTTTTTCAATCCTACACCAATTTTTATCTTGGCTGCCATGTCACATCTAGAGTAATACCGTCTATAGTAGCAATTTTTTTTCCTTCTGTTTCTTTGATTACTTACAGCATCCATCAAATATATTTTCATGTTTACAACAATACTGTTAGGAAGACTGCAGCATTACTGGTTGCATTGGACATATGCTACAGGCTATTTAATTATTTTTGTTTTGGAATGTCTTCCCTTCTCAGAGCATAAGCACCTAGGTAAAGATAAGCTTGTAATGCCAACCAAAAATACAACAAATCAGAAGATAAAATTCTACTACTGAAAGTGGGCAATCGTTACAGCAGAAACCCCATTTTCTCCACCCTCAAGTTAAATAGGTTTACTTTAGTCTGACTATTTTAAGTCATATAAGCAGAAATAAAAGAAACTTTACATACTGTAAAAAGATGGGAATAACAAAATACAAGACCTAACACTTGTTAAGACCATGCCCATAAAAACAAGGCTAACATTAATAATATTCAATTTGGCAACAAAGCTCTCCGTTAAGTTTTGCTACCTTTAAAAAGGACCTCAGCATTTTTCACGGAATCACAGAATCATTAAGGTTGGAAAAGACCTCTAAGATCATCAAGTCCAACCATCAACCCAACACCACCACGCCCACTAAACCATGTCCTGAAGTGCCACGTCCACACGTTTTTTGAACACCTCCAGTGATGGTGACTCCACCACCTCCCCGGGCAGCCTGTTCCAATGCTTGACCAAACATGCATAAGGTTATACCTTTTATGCATAAGGTATTAAGTAAAAATTCTACATGCTGTCTTACAGTGGAAAAAAATGCCCCCCTCCTAACAACTGCAAAAGGCTTTCCAAATACATATCCTTTCTTATTATTTCAGTGGAAATATATAAATAAACATTCCTCAGATGAGCAAATCCTTTTTTTCCTTTGCCATGGCATCAAGATAAATTACAATTGCTCTCTTCTCCCCTTCCAGTTCAGTTTAAGACTCATTTCAGAGTGATTTTTCCTTCCACTGAATCTATAATCTGGATACTACTGACAAACAGAAAACAGTGCACGTGATCATTCTCACTGTTTTAGCTCTTATTCAAGGTGGCTGTAAGGAAAAAAAAAAAAAAGAAAAAGAAAAAAAAAATTCCCAAGCCCCTCTGATATTACTCCAGTCAAAAAATCCCAGCCATGTTTCACAGTAGCATGCACCAAAGTATTTGGTGGGAGAATCAAAGAGTTAGTCGTCTTTCTTTTTCTCACAAATAAATACAAATATGAAAAACCTTCCCCAGGTCACAGACTCCTTTTTGAGGCCTTCTAACACTGGAAATATTTCATAAGGAAGAACTTGCCTACTTCATCCTTTGATATTCTTGGAGCTGCAGGTTATGATACCACAGCATTCATTCGCAATGCTCTCAAATTTGAGAGCTAAGTAAGGACATCTCTCGGGGCTCATTTATAGAGGAAAGCTATCGCAAAATAGGCTAAGGTTTAAACTTGAAGTATACCCAGCTATTTCACACTAAATCCTAAGGTGAACACATTCTATATTAAGAGCACTTCATTGCAATTTAATCCAATCCCCAAAGCGATCTAAAAAATGGTTCTCTTCCTGTGGAATAAGAGTGCCCTAATGTAAGGCTAGCCTGGAACAGACACTGCCAAAAGACATCCCAGGCAGTTTCCTGTATAGACACAAACATATACATGCCATGTACGCATGACCTAATTCTTGTAACGACACAAAAACTTTCTAAAACATTTTATCTAAATTATTAATGAGATTTAGATAGATGGGTATAGCACTGCTATGTTGGCAGAATACTTTCATCTACCTTCTTTTTGAAAATATGTCAGTAAGTATTGACATTTCATTCTTATCACGTAGATGAAGCTTCAAATACCAGAGTTTGCAAGGGCTCCATTCACAGCTGCCTGCAGAAGCACCCGGCACTGAAATGCCAAGAAGCAGCACGCCAACGGGGCTAGAGGCCTGTCAGAGGTTCAGGACACTGATGTGTATGCATTGAGCTTTACAGGAGAGTATCCAGAGTGAGCATCCCTGCTTTGAAGAAGCATCTCTGTTTTTACCCATCTACCTCTCAAGGAGCTACGTGCCTTTCCAGCTGCTCCCCGACATCTGTCATTAATAGAAGATGTCTTGACCTCCTGTGGGACATTCAGCAACAGGTTCATGAAGAGGTGGCCAATGAATAGATGACCTGAAGCCGTAGGAGCTTGCGGCACAGAGGCCATCTTCTGGTACACAGGTGCACACAGCTGGGTGCCTTAGCACGGCCAGCTATACCCTATACTTGGGTAGCCTGCGATACAGAATGTTGCTGGCTGCTACTAACACGGGCAACCTGTTCGGCAGCAGCACCCCCTTACCAGAAATTACTGACCTTGACAGAAATAACTGGCTGGGGTGGGAAGGGGAAGCACAAAGGAAGAGACTCTTGAGTCTTCACTTGAGGTACCTTCACTTTTGGGTACCATTGAGTACATGCATTCAGAAATGCGTGTGCCAAGCAGGTTCTTTCTTTTGATTCAGAGATACTCAACGGAAAGTAGTCTCCACTGGAGAGTCAAGGATTTGAGCCAAGTAGCTTTCTTAAAGACCCTGCTTTCTTTTAGGCAAAGCATGGAAGTGCTATTTACATCACATGTAAAGAGGCACTTACAAGTTGTTCTAGAGGCAATCTCTCCTCCAGTTTTCCCAATATTCTGGGAAAATAAGCCTCCATTAAAAGCAGGATGATGAAAGGTATCTTTGCATATCCCATGCTGCATCAGGTTCAGAGCATCTTCTCTGAACTAAAAAAGCGATTCAGAATAGTGTAAGACCTTGCCAAATTTGTCCTTTTATATTGTTGGAGAGGAATAAATCCCAAATATGATCTACTGGCAACAGCTGAAATAAGGCATGATGGAAACAGTAAGTAAATACAACCTGTGCTCTCAAGCTGAACTTGATCTCTCCTGTTTGTTTTAGCAACACTAGCTAGGATCACTGGGTCTGTGAAGACATGCCTGAACTGGAGAACTCATGGAGAATATCCACAATTCTTTTTTCTTCCTATATTAAATAATAATTTTTAAAAAAACAAACAACAACAAAACAAAAAAGAACAGCCAGAGAAAGTCCTAAAGTCAACAGTAGGAGACTACTGAAAGTAAAAGACTTGGATCAGATGCTTTGCATGAGGAAAACTTATATGATATCCTCCCTCAGTTAGACTTTGTCCTGTATCACTGCAGGCAACTACTAGAAAACACAGGAGGCATTTGTCTTCACATCATAAGCAGCTTGACCCCAGTAGAAATGGTATGGTTCGCCAAGTTGTGGGACTTGCAGAGATAGCAAAGATCTTGAACGTGGCCATAAGTCTTGGGAAAACATCCACCATAAGAACCTGTCTTCATCAAATTTTGAAAATCGAGAATATAGTGGTAAACAAGCAAATAAAAAAACATGCCCAGGGTAAATCACAAGAAAATAACCACAGTTGAAAGCAGCAAACAGAGAAGGCAACGCTCCAGTCTCAGCCAGCAGCTGAGAGGAACTGGAGGCAGGGAGCTGCCCTTACACGGCAGGATGGATCGCGCGTGCACGGGTAGCGTTTGCGTGCGCACTCTTCATATTGCCGAGGAAAGCAATCAGCTTCGCTTTATGACCTTAGGCTTCCGTAAATAAGACAACAGTCAATGAAGTAGAACAGTGTATCAAAGGGAAAAATCTCACAGACAAAAAACCTAAACTGGTAACTCCATAAAGCACTAATTAAGTAGTTAACACATGCTGCCGTACACAGAAAGCGGTGCAGAGTGGCTTCCTTCAGGCTACAGAGCAAGTCAGTATAGAAGCCAGGATTATTAGTCACAGGTGGTCCTAATCCCCAAAACCTGCCTTCCCCTGTAAAAATCTGCTTTTATAAAGTACTGGATTTTTTTTCTTCTTTCCAGAAATTATATGTATCTAGATTAAAGTACAAGTAGCAATATGGATACTATTGCTAGTCAGAAAAGACAGCTAAGGAAGTAACGGAATAAGCACTATGATATTTAAGTGGGACATATTGTTTCAGCAGCATCAATATATTAATATGAAAGCACAGCTTCTAAGAGATTATGAAGACTAATATTAAGAGGCTGAAAGTTTGAAGAAAAAAAAATTGAAGAAATTAGGAAGTCACAGATGTGGCAGAGGAAAAAACCAAACCCAACTAACAGGAAAAAACAATGTGGTTTAAGGCAAATTTCAGAACAAGTTTAAAAAAGACAAACCAGTGAAGATCTATCTCAGAGAGCAGGACTTAGCAACTACTATCAACCATGCCAAAAACAAGGGAGGCTTAGTTAGGTACAATAATGCCTGTTGCTACACAAACCCAAGAACAAAGCATATCATATCTTGTGCTTTAAATCAAGGTGTGCAGTGGCCTCAGAGAGAATTTTGTAGCTTGTATAGCTGGCAATAGGAAAGTTGGTTTGTTGGTTTTTTGTTTTGTTTTTTTTTTTTTTTTTTTTTTTTAACCACGTGGAGATGGAGGTAGGAGCACTTCCGAGCAGTCATATTGGTGTGATCATAGTTCAAGAGTCGATCTGTAGACTTTTAAAAATATTATCACTGCAAGTGCAAGGAAGGGCTTGGGTCCACAACCTG